GCGTTCCCGACAGCACGAGAGATTGGAATGAAAAGCTCATCTTCCCAGTTCCAAGTGTAGGAGTTGACTCAAAACTGGATGATTACGCGGAACTTTTGTTTTCGGTTCGACCAAGAACCAAGTTGAATTGAAACATGATAACTGAACCAAGTTGGGTTTCTGGAAGCCACGATAAGCCACTCGCGAAACATGCCTTCTCGCTTGGTGTGAAGGTTCCGTAAGCGGTGACGGATCGGTGACCGATCGACGTCCCACCCAGTGGGATGTCGGTCGGTGCAAAAAGAGCTATAGCACCCGAACTCGGCCAGGCTGTTAGTTGAGGGTTGTTGGACCCTGTCTCAGGTCGAACCATTGGTGACCTGTCGGAGGGTCCTGGTAGGTCATGTTTGAATGATCATTTGTTGCAGGAATTCTGTCTCAGGGCTCGATCGAAGGCAATATCGGCCGCTCTGGAATCAGTGTTGGAAGGAAAATAAGGGGCACACATGTTCATGTCAAAAGCCTTTGCCATGCTGTCACGTGTCATTCCAAAGTGAGTGCACCAAATGGTTGATTGTTGGGAGAAGGTGCCATTTCTTGACCATGAGAGTCGCGCCGGCGCCTGCCCAGCAAAGCCTCCATCATTTGGAGTTGCCTTGGATTCTCACAGCGAGGTAAACTTGGCCAAGACCCCAAGTTGCCAAGACCAGCGCCTGGACAAAGGGGTCTCCAGTCTAGACCTACATGACATTGCTTGCAGATCTCCATTGAGCACCCATTAGTTGGCCGGTCCAGGTATGATCGTTTCAATATATAGTATATATATATATATCATTATATATCATATTGTATGGTCAAAACATGTCAAAACGCTGTAGATCTGCTCAACACCATTCGTCACCTCAAAAACAGGAGCAACTTTACAGTCTGAATCTGACTCCCGAGCTGTTTCCCTGGAACATAAAGGTGAACCGAACTTTCCACCGGTTCCTTTTTGGTGGGGAAACTCTCCAAATCCCCCCAGTTGACGGTTTCACAGGTTATCCATCGACTAGGTAAGATCTCCCCACATTCCATGTCTTTCAGCTTCCACCTTCCTCCATCTCAAGGGGCGCTTCGTCAAGGCCTGGTTTTCTTTTGACGCGTTCGGAACGGAAGAACTGCACAGAAGTGAATTCAGATCGGATTCATTTGGGACCGGCGCAAAGAATGAACAAAAAATACACTCGACCCTGAATTCATGCTTCCATGGAGTTCAAAAGACCGCTTTGGTCATCGGAAAATGGTCATGCTTTCGGGACCATGCCATCCACATGATACTTCGAGTCTACATGGATCTACATGGACCCCCTCAAGCCCCAAACGTAGACAGGGCTTCTTGGCAGTCCTATCTTCTTGGCGGTGCAAAGGGGCCGGTACCACCCCACTCCCACCGGTCTGGGTCTATTTATCAAACTGCTACAGCTGTGAGAACGGTGAAATGAACTGAAGTCTTACTTGCTTACTTATACTACCTACCGACCTACTGATACCGACCTACCGACGACGACGACGACTTCTACCACTTGCCATCCCTAGCCATCCCCCACGAGCTCTAACCCCTCCCTCTTAATTAAGTCCTTCTATCCCTCCAAGGTGCTTGTCCTTGTCCGCGCATCGCTTCCTCTCTTTCGCCAGCTCTTGCTCCAAATTCAGGAGCGCTGTGGTGTCATTGCATTCCGCGCTCCCCACAGCCATGGCGTTTGCACAGCCGCCGAGTTTCAGCGCACGACCGGCAGTCCGCCCACGACTGGAGCCAGATTGGGGGGGCGGTGCTTGGAGGCCGACTCGCAAGTTTTTGTGGAGAATTCTGGGAAAGAATACCTGGGAGTTACATCAATCAAATACTCTCTGCACTGGTTACGTGGATGGCGGACTCGCTACGACCAAGGAGAGTTTTCTGAAGACCATTTCGAGGGTGTGAACTCCACTTCCATGTTCGTCAGTCGGAGTGTACATAGCACAGAAACTGCTAAAATTTGGAACCATTTAGAACTCCCGGAGGACATCGGGACATCGGATCCACAGGATCGACCGAATGCAACGTCCGTATTTATTCACGAACGAGCATTGGATGCATGAACGTTCCTTAGACTCTCCTTAGATCCATCGCCGAAAGGTGTTTGCCTTCACAAAAAGGAGCCGTTGTGCATTCAACTGATCTTAGGAGCTTCGAACCATTCTCCCCACTGTCACCACGTCCCCCCCCACTGCCCAGCGAGCAGCGCATGCCGTCCGCACCTGCGCCACGTTCAGCTGCACAGCGCCATGCTCCTTGGCCGGGATGAGGCGGTTCGTCGCCTCAGGACCGACCAGAGCGGCGAAGAGGAAATGACACCACTTCCACCAGCGCTCAGCCACGAGGGCAAAAGTTGTTTTTTTCCAAAACCACCGGTTCTTAAGTATACGCTTGCGTTTGCCTCAAGATCCTTAACATCAATCAGGTCAGCAATGGCGTTCCTGATTCGGACCAGGGCTTCACATTTGAGCATGTTGGATAGATGATGAGCGTTTTTTTGAAGGCGGTCTAAGGCTTGCAGTGCTGAATTGTAATCAAACACATACAAGATTACATAAGTGTGTTCTTCTGTTGTCGTACTCGTTCATCAATTTCTGCACACAACACCTTTTGTGTGGGCAAGGGCTGACGTCTCTATGTTCAGTGCTTTGCACTTTTGGTTGTATCTTCATTAAAGATATAGCAGGGCCTCCTAAGGAGTGGTTCATGGACATCCCTTAGCCTCTCAGGGGCTATAGTTAGACACCCTGAAAGGGGCCCTGATACTTGACTGTCGCAGATTCACAGATTCTTCCTTCTACATAAGGTGCGGTTCTGTAATCAAAGTTCGCCTCCACTATCACCAGGAGATTTGCTGGCAAGAAAGACCTACTCGCAACCCAACCACCATGGCAGGCCTCAGGCCTGGTCCACCGCCCCGAACAGCGACCCAACCAGCGGCACCCCTGATGCGACCCTCCCGAGGCAGGTGCCGAGCACTTCCGAGGCAGGTAGAGGTCCACCTCAGCTCGCGCGCGGCACACCCGAGACACACCCACCGTACCGGTGTGAAACGAACGCAACCGTTGGGGGATTGCAGGTCGGCTGGTGTGGGGCGGACCGCAGGCTTTTCTGCGCCGGTGACAGTCAGAAAGCCGCTTGGTAGCAGTGTTTCTCTGTTATTTTTTGCTGTGGGAATCAGTTGTTTTCCGGTCCAAGTTGCACCAGTCAGTCAGTTTGCCGGACAAATGAAAAGTAAAAATAAACGCAATTGTATACACACATGGGGCAGAAAGGGTTCCTCAATTCACTCATTGTCGTTTTCCCACGGTTCCCTCATGGTGAGTTCCGTTCAAAAGTGTTTTGTGTTCAGATTTAAATTTGCTGCCAAAGATTTCTACCCATTGGGGAAGGGTTTGCTTCGAGTCCGAAGCTTTTGTCGGGTCTGACCGGCCTGTACGGATTAGGGCAGAGTAGATCGAGGTCCTGTGGACTGTTGAGGATTTCACGAAAATCCCAGATCTGAATCTCCAAGACGTTGCGACTTCCGGCACCCAGGTGTGCCACACGTTGCGACTGCATGTAGACGACGGTCCCCACCGGTGCTTCACACCCCGACGCTTCCGAAGTCCCAGGAACGATGCGCCCCTCGTCGTTCTGCATGGTTTCTGCCCTGGGTGCAGATCCGGAGGATCGAGCGAAACCAAGGTGCCCAGCTGTGAGACGTGGTGTATCCCAGCAACCCTCGGGATGTTCTTCCCTCCTTGCAGCCTATTGCCACCTTCTTGTCTTGTCCCTAGGCCCTAGGCTTCCTGGCCCACCATTAATCTAATAGGATTGACCGAATCAACTAAGGATTGTCCACTACCAAAACCCAGGTCGTTCCCATTGTTTTGAATGGTCGAACGGAGAAGTCTTCTTGTCTTGTTACACGGCTTGGCTTTCTGTCGAAATATCCTAGGTCGGTTGGGTCTGAGATCCGAGACTTCACTACAAAAAACCAGATCTCCGACTTGAAGGTGAGATGATGCCTCTCGAAGGCCACAGGCGGGTGCCCTGCTACATGAACAGGTCCTTGACAAGATAGTGTGGTAATGGAGAAGATGCGAAGGGGTATAGGCTAGCTAGCTAGTCTAGGCCGCCTCAATGCTCAAACATAGCGAGAAATGTGGAACACCGGATGATAACACCCGCACGATCATGTCCACGCCAAGGCTGCAATTCGCTGGAAAGCTTGAACCCGTCAAAAACGGGTCCCCGATTCATCTCAATCAAATAAACTGCCCAACTCGGAGATGTTTCGCCCCGAAAGCAAAGCAACATGGCAATTGGAGGCAAAAAAGAATTGCCAAAGGTCTAGCTGCTCCCCATCTGTCATCTTCCCAAACACTCCTACTGTAACACCCCTTGGTCTGATAAAACCTACCAACCTACTAATAGGCATTTGTTCGACCCCAGTCACACCTCCAAAAGAACGTTCCATCTACGGTTACTTTCCAACTTTCCAATGTCTCAGAACGGGAAGAACAGCCGAGCTTTCTCCTGTACTTTCAGTCGTCCAACACCGATCCACAACCGCACTGCGCCTCACGGGATGCCCAACCCCGCTCGTGCTTGAGCCCACGTCGCTGCAGGCAGGAAAAAGAAGCAGCTCCCAAGAGCTGCGGTCAAGCAGCCAACGAGCTGCAGAAGGAAGCGCGGCACGTGGGCACAAATCCCGTTTTTGTCCGGTGTTTCAACTTGAAGGACCTTCCAACAGGTGGTTTTGGGATACCCCTTAACCACACTAAGAGGCTAGCTATTTATTGACAGCTCTCGGAAGGTCCTGGCAGAAGGGTAACAAACAACCGTGAAAATCACCATCAACCCCCCAAACCAGCCCCCGAAACGGCGCGGAGGCCGCCGTCCTCACACTGTGCTGCACCGGGGCACCGTGGGCACCGCTACTCTCCTCGTCCCCGGCGGTCGCCCGGGGGCCCCGAGCCGGGTCCACCAACGGGCAAGATCTGGTTCTTCTTCGCCTGGAGCGGGAGCGGTCCGGCGGCGGAACCCGCCGATCCGGCGGTGTCCAACGCGACGTAGGAATCCGAGGCGAAAAACGTGAGGTGACCAGTGACCAGGTGGAACGTAGAGCCAATCAGACCAGCTGGGCCGAAAATGCAGCATAAGGAATAAAGATTGGAAGGTGTGGCGTTAGGTTTCTTGGACCACGCTCTATAACTGGAGTGGTTCATTCTCAAAGTCAATACCCAAGGCAGCTGAACTTAATCAAGCGGTTGGTTGGCATCAAGTGGGTAGATTTATGAGTTGTCTCACGCCAAATATTGAGTCAACAAAGGAACCGTCAAATTGAGACGAATTGATAATTCTGATGTGATGATCATTGGCATAGCAACAAGTGGTACATTGCTGGTGCTGAGCTGCTCAGTAGGGAATGAGGGAATGAGTCCCCAGTTAATAGAGATTGCTTTGGATCCTTTCTCCCATTCCCTACTAAGCACCAATCAGATTATTGTACGATATGGTACATTAGTACATTATGGTACATTGTTATACATGTGTCCACCCACAATACCTAGCTATAGGGTATCACAGGTCAGTTTGCAGGACCTGCATGCACTTTGAAAACCATGTTGGTAAGCGGACCGGCCCGCCCATCTTGGTAGTTGGTTCAGAGCTTGGAGAAGGCTTGAAGTGAATCGCCTATCTAAACCGAGGAAAACGACGAGTTGCACCCATTCAGCACAGCTTGCAACAGCTGGCAATGGATCGTTTCACCTTCAAGTTTGCTCTTTTGTATTTAGTTCTTCCTTGTTTGAGGGTATACCTAGCCAGGACATTTCTCAGCAGAGTTTGACCAAATTGCTGTATGATTACCGTACACCAATTCAATTTGATACAAAACAATCACGCCCCAAACGCACCTACAGACGGGCCATCATTCAACCTGAGGGCATCCTCCGAAAGAACGCAGGACCCTTTTCCCACAAGGACGCGTTTCTTACATCCCCCTCTCCTCCTCCGCCCTGGCTGTCTCCAGCTCGCTGCATGGCCCACTTGGCCGCCCTGGCTGGATCCCAAAAGCAGTCGGCCATGAAGGACGCCAAGTCCTCTAGAGACGACGCGACGCGGACGAGCCGACGGGCGGGCGACGGCGGAGCCTGCACGACGGTTGGACGGTCGAAAGGGAGACCTCCCAGGCAGCGTTGGGAGCCCGCTGAAGAAGGACATATATATATATACCATAGTCTATACCCATCCAGGGGGTCTTCCTATTGCACCTCCAAGTCGTAGTCCACGACAGTCCGATACGAACGTTAGACACATTGGTATATGTATTCTCCGCCGGATGAGTATTCTCGTGATGCTCTAAGAGCAATTGTTTCATGCATGAGTCAGAAGCTATCATAAATTCTGCAAAACCCTTCCCTCAAAAGGAATCCGATTCATGTCTTTTTGGTCGCCCAAAGCAAGCCCCGTCAACACCAGCCTCTCCGCTGAACCCGGTCCTCTTCGCTGATGGGCTTGCACCTCACCTGGTCAGCCGTCACCCAGTCGGTTCTGCTTCTTGGACTGAAACACATCCCAGTTGCGATGGGTTTCCAGGAGTACAACAGCCCAACAAAAAACCGAACAACCGTTCCCAAGTCCAGTCTGACCCAGTAAAGCCATGGGTCTTTAAAAAAGTTTTTGGTGTATGACCAACTCCAGTTAAAGGAGGTCTTTGACTTGTAGGGATTGTTTTACTACGGAAATTTACACTATAACGTAACCAGTTCAACCGTCTTCGATCGGAGACCACCGTTTACACAAGAACAAAACCATCCATCCCAAGCCAAACCCCGCATCCCCCACACCAGAATGCTCAGCTCAAATAACCTCCGCTTCTCCGACTCACCTGATGTCCCGTTCCGCTCCGCTGGTGCCAATGCCGCGCGCGCGGTTCCGGCGCCTCGGTGCCGTCGCCGAACATCACGTAGGGCGCTCCACCCTTCACGCCTTTCACCTTCGGCGAGGTGGAAGGGAAGGTGTGTCCTTTTGTCACGTCTGTGGAGGGGGGTGGTACCAGTAGGTAAAGGGATGGTTGACCTCAAAAGGTATTGCTCCAAGTTCATTCTGAAGACGTGTGACTTCTATCCTCATTCTGAACGAAACGCGACAGCCTTGACAGCCAAATTTCACCAAAACTGCAAATATCGTAGGAGATACAACTTCGTGAGGCGTGTAGAGTCTTGGGACACTCATTGGAAATTCTATGGCCCATGCTCACTCATGTACTGTCACTACTGTGGGTATTCACCAAATCTGAAAGCCTGAAACTCTTGTAGCTACGCAGCTACACTAACACTCACTGACGATGTCGGAGGCGATGGGCCCGGCGGCAGCCACCCAGCGGTGCACCCGTGGCAGCGAAGCAAACACAGCATTCAACATCACCCGTCAACCAAAGAAGGCAAACAACAAATTGGAGGATCCCCATTGCTGCAATTGGTGGGAACCCTAAGGTTCAGTCATTCGTAAATAGATCATGTCGTGTTTTGGGCCGCAATTCCGAATACTGGACTGGCGCTGGGTAAGACAAAAACACCCCAAACCCACCTGGCACCACCCCAATGTATGCAAATATGTCATACACAGATGGTCTGGGTATATGTAGATCGATGCACTCCCCGGTCCCAGGTCCCCAACGGTCTCCACCTGGCCTGTCCCAAGAGGGACTTGAAGAAGGCGGTGGGACGCACCTCGGAAAGCTGGCAGTGCGAGTGACACCATCGGAAACACCACGGAAACCACAGGTCACAGGTACCCATTGATAACCGCTGAGGACACGCGTTTCTCTTATGCAACCACCCTTTTGGGTCGCTGCAAGCGAGGAATTGGAGTGCTTAAAAGACTCCCTACCGTGGAAACGGCCGCACGGAGCTGGGTGCAGGTGAAAAATAGCACAAACTGGGTGAAGTTTTAGCCCATCTGACTCTTACAAAACGACACCAGCACCTCCAACACCTTGCCTCTGTTGCACAGTCATGGTGCTAGGTCATGGTATATGTCTTGGGTTGTAATCGAAGCTTTTTGGCTATCCCCAGGCATTCATAGTTGATAATCAATTCCATCGTGGTTTTTCCTTGGAAAGTCACATGGTTGGAGCATCTTCTTCAGTGCTCACAGAGCGTGAGATAGGAGGAGTCATAGCTCCCGGATGTACCTGGGGTCTCAAAGTACTTCAGAAAAGGATCTACCTGCTTTTATATGTCATCATGTTTTTATCGGTCGAGTATGGCGTTGACTGGGTAACCGGGTCGGGATTCCGGTTGACCGGGATCCGGTCAGACCCCCCCCACCCCGGTCAGCCGGTCAGCCCGGTCAGCGGCCTGGTTCGAGCCGATGTAGTAGCCGGTTAATTGGGTTGATCAAATTGAGTTGGTTTGAATTTTATTGAATTAGAATTGAACCGAGTTGGCCAGAAAACCGGCTGATAGAAGAAAATTTAATAGATTCAATTACAAATACATTTACATAAAATAGATCGCCTAACCGGCTGACCGGGCGCGGCTAACCGGGCTGACCGGACCAGGTTGACCCGGCCCGGCTGGTCGGCTAACCGGGCTGACTGGACCGGGCTGACTGGGCCCGGCTGGTCGGCTAACCGGGCTGACCGGACCGGGCTGACCGGGCCCGGCTGGTCGGCTAACCGGCCTGACTGGACCGGGCTGACCGGGCCCCGCTGGTCGGCTAACCGGGCTGACCGGACCGGGTTGACCGGGCCCGGCTGGTCGGCTAACCGGGCTGACCGGACCGGGCTGACCGGGCCCGGCTGACCGGGCCCGGCTGGTCGGCTAACCAGGCTGACCGAACCGGGTTGACCGGGCCCGGCTGTTTTGGAAAACTCTTTCGCTCAGATGTTCGGCACTACCTATTTATACCTGATATACCCTGAGGATCCGATATTGAAAAGATCAATATCGCGAAAAGTTTTCAATAATATTGAACTTGCATTTGTTCAATCGCGGTTGTTTTTTCAATATTGAAGAGTGAAAAAATAATCAATATTTTTGATCAATATCGACCAATATCATGATCAAGATCAAGACCAATATCAATGTCAAAAGATACTCCACAGGATCTCCACAGGAACTCCACAGGATCTCGACAGGATTCTAAACTCCACAGGAACTCCACACGATCTTCACAGGATCTCCACGATCAATATTAACCAATATCATGATCAATATCATGATTCGAACCTATGTTGCACATACCGGTCCAACATACGCATTGGCAAAAATCATCGTACTGGAGACCTAGATTTGAAGTGATTTGGAGAAAAACATAAATTTTGGATCATCTTGGCAACAAAAGAAAACAGTATGATTCTGTGTGAAGATCTTGGAATCAAACCCGGTCTTCTTCACTCTTTCGTGCAGCTGGTGCCTGCTCGAGAAGGGCTGTCTGCTCTTTTGCCATGGAGACTGGCAAGCTTCCAGCTGTGATCCCGGAAGTGCCCATCGCGCTGGAAGCTTTGAAAGAGCACCTACAGAGGAAGTTTCCATTCCCCAAGACTGAAGGCTGGCTTTGATTCCACAATCTTCACACAATTAATTCGGTCGCCAAGATGGTCCAAAAAATCCTATGTTATATCATATCATGTTATTCTCAAAATCACTTCAAATCTAGGTCTCCAAAACGAGTTATTGAGAAGGAGTTGATTGGCATATTGCGCCATCTCCTGTGTCAGGCCGCAAGAGCAGAGCGCAACACTTGGAGACATCCTATATGATCACAGAGATCTTTGCTCGCGGTGCCGCGATTTGTCGAGGCTTGAAGAGCGTCGCCTATCCGCTCAGGCTTTCGATGTTCGCCGGCGTGCTACCCACAATGTTCACACGCCCCTTGGATTGAAGATTCCTTGCTGCCCCACTTTCTACCGCCCTTTGGGCGTCGCCACTGCGGCGAAATTTTGCTTCCACTTCGTGGAAACTTGGCTTCCACTGCTTGATTTCGCCTCAGCGCAATCGCAGACAACGTGCTTCACTATGCAAGTGACAAGCCGCAACCCCTATAATCCGTTCGTGGAACATCAAATGTTGAAATAATGAGGTATGATTATTGAGCAGGAGTATTTGATTTCAACAAAGGAATAGACAATGATTGATTAATGGTGAAAGGAAACATGGTTGATACAACACCTTCAGATGAGATACTGAAAAAGAACAAAGAAGTTGAAAGTGTATGTAGTAGATGTGTGGAGAATGTAAAGGTCAAAACATTGAGTACATCAGTAGTAAGTATGAAAGGAATGACAAATTCGGTTTCAAAGCACAAGAACTACAAAAGGAACTACCAGAGGAGTTTTAAAACATAGTGAATGAGAGGAAAGAAAAGCATAGTGAAGAAAGGTACTTAAGCATTAACTATATGACACGGTTGGTGGTTCTATGGAAGACAGTTCAAGAGCAAATGAATAGAATAGACAAGTGACAAGTTCGAAAGGAAGTGGCAGACCTGAAAGGAAAACCTATGGAATTACCTTTTATAGGGATAACTTTCTTTATGAGGTTGTTTAAGTGCAAAAATGCTTCCAAGGGATGCGAGAAATGCAAAAAACAAACCCGACGTCACAGACATCCAGAGGGTGTCCTTTTTCCCCACCTGCCAGGTGAGGGTTGTTAGATTTTATCACAGCTGTTCTTCCTCCGCCTCCGCCTCCGCCTCCGCCTCCGCCTCCGCCGCCTCCTCGTCCTCCTCCTTCCTCCTTCCTCCTTGCTTCCTTCCTCGCCAATCTGCTTCGCCGATCTTGTCTGGCCAGCTCCGGATCGCAGTGTGCATCCCTGGACCTCAACCGCAAGGATCCGATCGCAGTGTGCACCCCTGGA